CCACGGTTAAAACGCGATATCGGTCGTCCAGTCGCCTGTGTCGTGTGTCTAGCGATTTCTCCCGCTGTCTGCCGCCTGTTTCTTCTGTCCTGTAAGGCAATATACCGGTCATCTGCGGGTGTGGTTCCTCGTGGACGACCACTACTAAAACTCTGGATAGGTGTTCCTGTAGTTTGAAATTGTCTCAAAGTCGTGAAACGATGCTGTGTGAGCAATTCCGAACTCTGACGCCACACTTGTCACACTGCGGCCTTCCTCCAACTTCCCAATGATTCGATCTCGGGTAAAAGCATCCAGATGTCGTCTAACAGATTGATTATTCGCCATTTCTCGCTGAGGCAGAATAACGAGTCCCGTTGACTGAACCTGCGTCGAAGATGTGAAGGTCCGTACGACTACCAAGCATAATGCCTCCCCAAACGAGAATACCGCCACCTCCATCCTACTCGGTGTGATTTTAACTGCTTTACGGCGTGCAATTCTTTTGCCAGAAATACTGATCTTAAACCGACAACATGCTTTATACTACTCAGACACTCCCCCATTACGTCTACCTGCATATCTGAATGTGCTACCGTACATCACCTTACTTAATCTCCTGATTGGTCTTTCTGTCCGCTCTGCCTCTTCGTTCAGCTGATATGCTAATTTTTCGACTTCGTCTTTAATTTTTGCACACCAGTGTAGATAATAAATCTAGCGATTTATGTCGTAATATATAAATGTTGCTTCGGTAACATATTCCATCTCCAGTCGAACTCTTCAGAAATGACCAGTCGAACTCTTCGGTACCAGTCGGTACCAGTCGAACTCTTCAGAAATGACTATTGAATCTTAATCTGGTTTTCAAACATAGCCAAATCAAAATTAATGACATAGAAAACGTACTTATAATTACTGTAAAGAATTTATTTCACAAATAGAGATATAAAATGAAAGTTTAACTCTCCAAATTCCTATTGAGATGCACAAATATTGGATTTGAAAATCCTTTGTAACATGGTAGACGTCTACACTCTCGTTTTGTTCTCGAGTTTTGGTCAAACAGGTGTACCTACTCACCTTTTTCTGACGGTAAACTACTGGACCTACACCGAAGAGTCATTGCATTATGACCAGCCTCAATATGTAGGACCACCTTTAGTCTTCAAAACTGACAAGATACGGCGTGGCATTGACTGCATAAGGTAAGACGTGGTCGACTCCATAAGGCTGATAGGTAGTCTGAGGTATCTGGTACTAAGGGCTCACCAACTGGTTCTGCAATTCCCGCACATTGCGAGGGGGTAGCGTGGCAACACGAGTTTTCCGGGTGTGACCACAAACGCTCTATTGAATGAGCGTTTGTGGTCACACCTCTATTAATGAGCTTTATACACTGGTTATCATAAATTAAGGAAAAATCACGATTACTGGAAAAGTTACATGTAGAATTTTATGAAACTTATTACCCGCAATATACAACACATAGTAAGGTACAAATAATATAAAAAGAATGACCAATTATGGTAGTATAGAAAATAGCACATGTATAAAAACAATCGAAGATGTCGTTTGCTATAAAAAGTACCTTCAATATGGAATATAATCGCCTTTAGAAGCAATACAGCACATTCAGCGATGTGTGATGCTTTCAATTATGCGGTCTATCAGTTCCATAGGAAGCAAGAGCCATTGTTCTTGCAAAGCAGTTGCAAGGGTCTAAAGGGACGGATTGAGAGCAGCTAAACGTCTCCCTAAAGCATCCCAAACGTGCTCGATAGGATTCAAGTCCGGGGATCGAGCTGGCCACTCCATGCGTGTAATTGTTTCCTGTTCATATACGATATATAATATACGATAATCATATACGATGCGAGCCCTGTGTGGTCTTGCATTGTCTTCCTGTAACAGGAATGCATCACCCATTGCCTCGGCATATGGGCGCACATAAGCATCAAGGATGTCATCTCTATAGACATGAGCAGTCACGGTTTCCCTTGGAGAAACATGTAGCTCTGTGCGTCCACCCAAAGAGATGCCACCCTAAACACAGACACTGCCTCTTCCGTTTGACAGATGATAACGCGTTCCAGGTTCTCTACATATCAAATAATGCCTACTATCGCGTTCTAGACTAAACCTGGACTCATCCGTAAAGAGAATAGCCCTCCATTGTTCAGGCGTCCGGTGGACATGTTGTCGTGCCCACTGCAAACAGTCCCTCCCTATGGCGTGACTTGAGCAGCACGCAAATGGTTGTTCGCCTCGCATACAGACCACCTCCGTGAAGCCTTCTACGCACAGTTGAAGTTGACACCAACCTTCCGGTGGCTGCAGCAAGGGAGGATCTAAGAAGAGTCGGAGTAGAGTTTCTATTCCTGCGTGCACATAATGTCAAATGTCGGTCATCGGCGCTTGTCGTAGCAGTTGGCTGAACCTCCTACGTGCCGAATCTGTGATCTGAAATTGCCTCCAAAGTCTATGAACCACAGAAGGACTCACATTTGGCCATTTGGCCACTTCTGTTTGACTTTGTCCTGCCTCTAGTCTCCCAATGGCTCTCTATCGTAGTTCTGCAGGTAAATGATACCTGGAAGTCATTGTTACCAATTGGCTTTCTCAGATTTCTGATGTCACTATTACAGTGAAATATGTGGGCGGACTTTTATGCTCCTCGCAGATGACGTATTCCGAGTGCAGCGCCACTAACTTGCATATTGGAGTTTTACTCAGCTACTCTTACTTTGCAACATATTCAAATTTTACACGGTTTGGCTTATTTTTGAGGGAGTTATCGCTATTTTTGTGATTTTTCCTTAATTTATGATAACCAATGTAGTATCTTCAAATGAAAGTTGAAAAGTTAATCTTTCGTTTCATACTTTTATCTGCAAAGGAAATTTATTATAGGGATCACAAATGTAGTTTCTTTTTATTGTTCAGCTTAAATTACCTTATATTTGTCAAATTTTGTCAAGTGTTTACCTATGTTAACGTTTATCTATGCTAAAGTTTGTTTGTGTCTTAATAATAAATAGAGACATAAACAAGGAGAAGGATATCTAGTACAATTAAGTATCTAGCAGTTCGCAAATGTTACATAATTGTTGAAAAATGTAGAGATCTAACGCCAGATTCAATGACGCAGATCCAGATTAATCACAGCTCCATCAAATCTTCCATTTAGTTTTAATAAATGCGCTCTACATTCTTTGACGGAAGTTCTATATTGATTTATTAAAGGCGAGAGATTTTGTATATATTTGTGTTATTTGAAGCTGGATGTCCGAGGCAAAAGTAAAGGCCTACTTCAATTCTCTAGAAGATGACAGTTTAAAGTGACAATACTTTGAAATGGAGTTTGTATGCATATCGGGTTACTTTATAAAATGAATGATCACAGTTCAAGACGAAACGTTTATGGGGCTTTAATCCAGCTGAACCTCACAGTGCATTATGTGAAGTTTTGAGTGATCAGGGAATGGATAGTAATACAAACCGGTTCAACTGCACTGGAGCGCAGAATAAAGAGATGTTAATGTTAGAAGCATCCGGTGGCGGAGAGCATAACACCAGCTCTAACTTAATGTAATATGCGAGGAAAAGTCACGAGCTAAAGCGATTTCACTCTCATGAGTATCTTGACAGAAGTTGTTGTATTAAAAAAAAAATTGTGTCCAGTTGGCTACTTATTACTTGATGCAACATTTAATGAAACTAAGGTTTCATGTTAACGGCGAAACCTTTCTATTGAGAATAACGGCAATTGACAAAATACGAATTAAAAGTGTGACTAGAATTGAAATTGTTGTCAAATTCTGTCCGCGACCCCAAAAATTTCAACCATGCTCAACTACTGGTTACATAAATGAGGAATTTTCCCTAGGATTATCAAAGCATTCTCGCGAAAGATGTGAAATGGAAAAAAATGTGTTTGAGATGCAAAGAGAGTAGCTTCAGCATTTTAGTATAAATGGTTACAAAAAAGGGGAAGAAAATTGCATAAAACTAAACTAACATGCTTACGGAGGGGAATTAACTTCGAAGCTTACTTGTAAAAGGAATAACTATAAATATTTCTCCGGATTAAAAGGGCTCCCACGTAGACAGTGATTTCCTTCCATGGAAGAGATTCTTTCGTTTGTTACCTTAGCTAATCAAAGACTGAGTAAAACTAGTATCGAGGAGGAAAACCAATGGATCACGATTCACTAATGGATCCTTCCAAGACAATGGATCACGATTGTCGTTGTAAAGCAAGGTATTTACATTGAAAGAACGTAAACAGGAACTATCTGAAATAAAATTAACTGGAGGAAAAAACATTCTAGAATATCACTTGCCCTCGTATCACAATAAATTGCCCTCGTACAAGTATATTATGCATTACCCTGATGGCCATTATCTGCTCTAAAATAACACTACTGTGAAAGTCATTGGCAGAAATAAGAAATATTTGCAATTTTGCTTGTTATTCTGACGATAAACTTTAGGCGGAAAGCTTGAAATCATTTAAATTGTTACATACATAATATACTTTAAAAAAGCAAATTAGTAATTAATAAAAAACCCGTTACTGAATTAATTCTACTTCAAAATGCAATTATATGCCGGAAATTAAGCTACTCTTGTTAGAGTTACTCTGTTTATTACTACTCTGTTTTACTGTTAAGTTACTCTGTTTATTACTACTCTGTTTTACTGTTAAGTTACTCTGTTTATTACTACGCTGTTTATTGAAAGCAAGTCGCATGTAAAATGGCAAAGAGCGGCAATTAAGGTGTCCGAGAGCCGCAGTTTGGCCATGCCTGGTTTACAAGATGCTTAAAATTGGATAGTGCCGCTAATGCAATGAATTTAATTATACACTCATATTCGTATTTAAGATTTATTGATCAAAATAAAAATTACAAGGATAGGGTCTTAAAGTTGTATACAAAAATCACAATACGCGATTGGAGGCTTTAAGAATGCTTAGTCGAATTTTAATACTTTAAAACCTAGTATGTTTTCAATTTGTGCACTATATACATAGTATATTTCTTCTTTTTTCCGGTTTATTTTCATTTTCCCTTTAAAATATAGAAAATTTTTCTATACTGTAAATGAAACTAGCACTGTAAGTCAGTCTTAACCACTTCTAATCTCAAACTTATTTTAGAGACAAATGCATTAGCTCCTAATTTTTGCATTGCTGTGGTAATATGCAGTTGTTCGATGAAGCATGTTCCTTCACATAGCCTTCTGGACAATGACAACCACGTATGCATCCTTTGGCTGCACAGGGTGATTGCTCAATATTCATATTCTGGCAAGTCTTTGGACAAGAAGGAGTACATTCTTTGTAAATGAGACCAGTAGCACATTCTGCAAGAACAAAAATTCTGCATTAATATGGAAATTTACATGGGTGAATAATTTAGAAGTTTCCGTTAAACCGAAAATAAATGTTTATTTTAAATATACAACAGATCGTCACTTGAGATGAAAAGTGGATTTACGTCAACAACACAGGCCGAAAGTGGGTTGGCCTGCGCCTGGTGAGCCGGTCGGCAGCATCGCAGAGCGCAATTTGACTAACAGAAAGATCATGCTTTTTATCCGGCGGAATTGTGGTGGTATTACCCACAAAAATTATCTGGAAAAGGGTAAAGCCTCGACAGTAAGAGGTACAGCGAAATGCTAGTCCGTGTTGACGCTGCTATCAAGGAAAAATGTCCAATTGAGTTTCGGCGCAAAAAGGTAATGTTCCATCAAGAAAGTGCTAGCCCAAATGTGTCTGCATTCATCGGCTGAATTTTGTACGGGCTGGAATAGGACCTTTAGCCACCCCCACCATATAGCCCCGACATCGCTCCTTCGGACTTCTTCCTTTTTCACACCTGCAGTTACATGCGACATGCGACGGAGGACTGCGCACCACCCTTCCACCAATACGGTTAATCGGTATAGCCCCACGTCCACCTTTATCTAGATAGCCACTCAGAGATCTTGCGGACGCCTTGCAAACCCAGCGCCCGATGCATCCTCGAGGGCAGTCCAGCAGACCAAAGACCCCCCGGAATATCACGCCCACACAACTACCCAGGCCTCAGTATTTATTGATTCAGTATTCCAGTAATGCGTGCATGTAAGACCTGTGTATAGATATTTACGGTTTGCTTACGAAATCCTTGCTAATAATCTTTCTGTCACACTTGCAAATGCTAATAAAAATATACGCGGATTTAGATATATGCAGATATGAATATACAAATATGTTATATGCAGTATTATGCATATATACGCTGATACAGATATAAGTAGATACAATGATATGCAGATGATGGTACCGCTATGCTGAAGTATATGATATGAAAGAACAAAAGGTGCATGAGATATGTAGGGTGACATAAATAAGAACCTACATAAGGTGGCATACATAAAATGACATACAACGTACTTAGGAAATAACAAGCAAGTTACACTACGAGAATCGAATATCGGCAGGTTACAGCCAAAACAAAAAATCGCGGCGAAAAACGCAGAGAAAACTACGCAGGGCGAAAAACGTCGTGAACAAAAATCGTGGGAGAAAACATCGCAAGAGAAAAAATCGGAGTTCTAAAACATCGTGATACAAAAATCGTCGTCCAAAATAAAGCGGATAAAAAATTTCGCAGTTTAAAAACATCGTCGTCGAAAATATCGTGGTAAAAAAAAAAAAAAGTATCGACAATCATCGCAGGACGATAATATCGCAGACCGCTTTTTCAGGCTTAATAATTGTAAATGGATATTTCCATAATGATTTGTGAGCGCAAAATGGAAGAAGGATAATCTTTCTTTCATATTTTTTTAACTATAAATTTTTGCTCAAAACGTAAGAAGGAATTTTAGCATAGAAAATCAAGCAACTTATAGCACTTAATAGAATTTAACTGACACAGTTAACTAACAAAGGTCATTAATAATAATTTTTTATAAAGTTTTAACTGGTAATTTTTCATTAAAGTTTAATCTAAAATGTTTAGAAAAAGGAGCTACGTAACCTCGTACATGACCTTATTACAAAAATTGCTAATTATGATTATTTTCTTCACTTTTGTCAATCTAAGTCTTATAATGAAAATTATTTCTTGTTCTGCTTCAGTTTTTCTTAAGTAAAGTTCCTTCTTAATTTTTCAGAAAAAAATATTAATTAATAAAAAATATGAAAGTAAAAATTATCTTTCTTCCATCTCGCGCTCACAATCATTATGGAATATCGATTTACAATTATTAAAGCCTGAAAAAAGCAGGTCTGCGATGTTATCGTCCTGCGATGATTTGTCGAGACTTATTTTTTTAGCGCGATAATTTCGACGACGATGTTTTTAAACTGCGAAGTTTTTGGACCGCTTTATTTTCGACGACGATATTTTGTTCCACGATGTTTTAGAACTGCGAAGTTTTCTCTTTGCGATGTTTTCTCCCACGATGTTCTGTAGCACGACGTTTTCGCCTTGCGTTGTTTTCTCTGCGACGTTTTCGCCCGCGATGTTTTTGCCGCAATGTTATCGGCGGACACCATACCTGCAGTTACATCTTGCTGGTGTTATCTTCCATTCTGCACAGGACATCCGAAATGAGGTTGATCTGTGTTTGGACTCGCGTCCAACAAGTTTCTGAGCCGAAGGCTTTGAAAAAATACCAAAACGGTGGCAGACAATCATAGATTTGGTTGGTGATTACTACTCACAATAAAAATAGTGCTTTTTAGTGTGAGTAGTTTTCCCCCCTAACTTTATTAAGATTGTTTTTTGGCGGAAAGCTTTCGTTACAGCCAGTATGAAGTTTCGCATTCTAATTTTAAAAAAATGAAGAGATTTTTAATGTAAAAACCTTTTAATCAAGCATAAGATTAAACGAGTTTCTGTGAAAGTACACTGTAAGAAAGAATCTGCGCTATGTGGTCCGGGTATATCATCGTTTAGGATATAAGAATATATGAAAACTGAATATTAGATAAAGTTTAAACGTTGCTCGAAGCTACAAGTTTCGCAAAACAAATAAGAAAAAGCAGAAATGATATAAAAAAAAAAAAAAAAAAAATGGGAATTTGACGAATTGAAAGGAGAGCAGCCACGAATCGCACTGCTTTCTTGACATAATAATGAATATTAAAATAATAACTAAAAGTTATAAAATATGAAAGATGGTAATTGTTTCCATTGCAGAGCCCACTAAAATATAATATTGCTGTTGTATGTGGAAGAGAAGTAAAACTGCCACTGTATGTAAATCTAATTTTTAAAAAAAAGAAAGAAGAGAAATATTGGATTGGAAAATTTTTAATCAAAACTCTTTTGATTCGAGAGTGATTTGACATAAGTCCCTCATTTTCAGAAACAATACTGTTTTGAATAAATTTGCAAACATGTGGCCAGTAAAATGATTTCCAGAAATTTGTCCACGATCTCTGTCTTTTATCACGACTATAAACAGAATAATATACTGGATGTTTAGTTAAATTGCATTTATAGTGATAGAAACAGTACTGTGAAACTTTTTCGATTCCAGTACTTCCTTTACTTCGTCGAAGGAAGTAAAAATATGATAAACAATAATAAAAAATCTGATGTGTACACCACATGACTTCCTTGTACGAAATATTAAATTATACGCATTTTTTCTTGCATTTCGTTTAAATTTATTGGATTGAATTAAATCTACTTCGCCGACAGGGCATAAACCGCAATAAAATAAACGCATTCTTTAAAATTCACTCTATTTGTTTACCATAGCGACACTCTGGTGCTAGGTTCACTTAACAGTATTATATTTCGTTCATATTATAACTCAGAATGCACAAAATTTACATCATTTAAAGAATTATCTAATCGTTGCTACATTTTCTATTCAAATACTATAATAAAGCTAGAACTATGTATAAAAGAAATTAAGCAAACAAAACAAAAAGAAACAGAAACGTTTTTCACAGACGATTGAGTATTTCTCATTCAATTAATTCAGTTCTCACTTCGCGACAAGGCAAAAAAATACATAAAAAACTCAAAATATCTGTATTAAAAATTACGAAGTAAATCTGAAACACTTATTTTCCTCGAAAAAATTTCCAGAAAGGATTAAGCATGATTAATTCGCAATAATAAAATGAAGGCGTTATCTTGTTGTTGCGAAGCTAAGTTTCTCTAGATTGGCAACAAATACACTATCCTGCAGTTTCAAATGTAAACAAACAATGGTCGCCATCAAGAAAAGTATTAGGCTTAGGGGTACTTAAACAACTTTAAAATTGTTGATAATTCTAAAAATATTGCATAGAGATTTACTAAAGGCATAAAAACCTTAACCGAAAGATAAGAACAACATAATTCAATCATTTTTAAAGCAAAAAATGTACAATTTACAAACATATAAGAGTAAAGAAGCTGAGATCACTGAGCCGGATAACAGATTGGATGTATATATATATAAATATATTTATATACGTTTGGTGCGGCCGATTGCAACCAAAATACGAGGTGCACATCTACATGTTATAGCAGTCCTATATACAAAATTTCAACGTTTTGAGGCTACTCGTTTTCGAGTTATGCGACATACGTTCATACAGACGCCACAAAAATGGATATTTTCGTTGCAATATGCTGCCTGAAACTTTCCGCGATTACAATACTTCCTTTTTACTTCGTACAAGGAAGTAAACACAGTGCAAAATGACTCATATTACAGTTTAAAATATCGACAGTGAATTAAGGCCTTACCATTGGAATTCAGCAACAGATGAGAACCAGACTGAGGCACCACTTCTGAAGACGGAGGCTGGGAAAGAAAATGCGCTGAACTCTGCTGTAATGAAAGTTTTGAATAATCGCCAGATGCGGAACTGGCTTGAGATATTGTTCCTTGTAAATGATGGGATGAAGAACTCATTTGCAACGACGAACTGGATTGCGATGACGAACTCATTTGCGACGACGAACTCGATTGCTGCGACGAGATCATTTGTGATGACGTTTGCGCAATATTCACAACCTGCGAACCGGACTGAGCTTGAGAACTTAAGTGAGACGTCCCTTCTTTGGGTTTGGACGTCAATGAGTGAGTTGAACTTTGTTGAGATTGTATCTGTGAGGAAGTTATAGACTGAGAACCTGTTTGAGATATAATTCCTTCTGATTGTGGAAGCTTAGGTAGTTGAGACGAACTCAATTGCAATGATGTCTGAGAGTAATCTCCAGAGTTACTAACTTGAGATATCGCTCCTCCGGCAACATTTAGCTTGGGGAAGAATAAATGTGATGACGAGCTTGTTAGCACTGATGACTGCGAGATTTTATCAAGCTGAGAATTAGATTGAGATGTTCCTTCTAATAAAGCAGGCTTCGAAAGAATATGTTGTGATGAACTTATTTGGGCCGACGCCTGAGAGTTTCCTTGTGACATTACGCTAGCAATGAAATAAGATTCAGATATTGGTGGTTGAATATTTTTATGCACAGACTGAACGGATGTATTTTCCGTTTGCTTTGTATTACCCTGATTATCATCATCCTCTATGGTAATTGTTAGTATATCTCGTCCGGGTATTATAGCGCCAGTTGAAGGTTTAGATAATAATATCTGAAAAGTTTCATCAAGTTCTGGTTTGTCATCGTCAATTAGGTTGATTTGCAGAGTTAGTTCAATGTCATCGGATGCAAACGATATGGTGCCACGAGTGCGACGGTAGTCTTCCCCTCCTTTGGCGGTGCCGTCTCGTGTAATCAAAAATATAGATACTGGAACTGAAGAATCGCCTGTGCGTTTAATATGAAACCTAACAACTCCCGCATTTTCTCTTACACGGATATTCGTAGAACGGAAGGAAAATTCAACGTTCCTCTCCAGTAATGGAGCTGGATTACCTGAAAATAAAAGTTTAGCAAAATTAGAGAAATGGAGTTGAATAAGAAATTATTGCAGGGACATGCTTAGAAGAAAAGACATACAGACATAGTGACTCGCGAGTATAAATACTCGCAAGTCAGTATGCGAGTATAAAAAATTGTTTAATTTGGATAAGCCAAATTAAACAATTTTTTTTTCAAGGTTCACAATCTCGATTTTCAAATGTATGTCTCAAAACTCTGATGCCATCTTAAATTCTGCAAGAGTACCAAAAAATAATCGAAAAGGCGGACGAGAAGCAAATACCAAAAGGTCCTAAAAGAATTACCGTAACTTTGAACCTTATCGCATACTTTTTCCAAGAACTACCATTTTCTGTTTCTTCATAGCAACCATGAATTCTACAAGAAACACGTCAGTTTGGTCATCTGAAGAATTAAGTAAATTTTCGTTTGAAAGTCGTCATATGATTTTAGTAAATTTGCGTTTTTTTTCAATTGGTTTTCAGTTTTTTTTTGCCAAAGTAAGCTCAAATTTGATTTTATTATTTAAAGCAATCTTTGAAAAGCTTTTCGTTTACTTGGAACTAAAAGTTCAATTAAAGATAATCGGGGACCACCCCTTTTTAGAGTATTGTTTAAATAACTATTTGGTTTAAAGTATATTTGTATAGCGCTCTATATTTATATTTGATTTTGAATTTTGGATTTGCACATAATATTTTTAGACCAATTTGTTTTCTATTTCGAATGGTCATTTTACATAATGTAAAGTTTTATATTTTTTTTTTGTGTGTGTATAATCGATTTGAAACAATGTTATGTTTCATTGTTTATTTTTCAAGTGTTTCGGAGACGTATACGGAAAATCCTGGTACATTTGAGATTCACATTTTTTCGGATTTTATATGAAGTTTAATGTAATGAAAATTTGTTTCTTTTTTCGGTTTTTGATCTGAAGTGAATCAGGAGAACGAAACACGTTTGCGAAGTATATTAATCTACTTTTATGAAGCTTTAATTCATTTTCCCCTCATGAGTTCTGAATTGGAGTTTCAGTAAAAAAAGATTAATTATTAAATTGTATCTTTTGTATTTTTTCCCTCTACATTTCTATTTATCGAATTTGTACTACTATGAATTCTTATTTTAATTTTGATTTGTTTAGATATTGTGTTAACCCCCTTATACACTGTTGCACTTATTAATATTGTTGAGGAATTGCCTTGCTTTAACTCCAATATTCTTTTAACTTTAAACGCTTCACCAAGATGAGTCATACTCTACATATATGCATATAAATTAAATTCTATAATTTGCTTTGCTTAGTTCATCAATTCGACAGTGATACATATAGAAGGGTTTTAATTGAAAATTTTGGGATTAAATGAGGTTTATCAGCCATTCTGATCAGAACTATATAGCCATTCTGATCAGTGCTATATCAGAACTTTGTGCGCAGCACATGAATGATAAGTCCCTGCATTAAAAATGCAATTACTAAGTAACTAAGCAGATAGTTCGATTTTATAATTTAGATGCATTTGGTTGCTTCCTGATTGCTTATGGAATGTTATATTGCAGGAACAAAAGTATTTCCGATTAAAAATTTGAATAATGATGTCGTACAGCAGATAAAAACTACAGAGGATGCTAAAGAAAGAATATTCTTACTAAAGCAGTTTTATACTTACTATCATCGTCAACAATTTCAATAAGAATTGAAGCAGCAGGTCCAAGCAGAGCAGGATCAGTAATTCCTGCTGCATTCTTGCTGTTTTTGAGCTTAACTTGAAAACTTTCGTTTGGCTCAAGTATTTTATCATTCACAATTACGACAGTAATTGTCTTTAGAATTTCCCCATCCTGGAAAACCAATACGCCACTCGATGGTACATAATCTGTTTGAGCACTTGCTGATCCATCCACAGTTGTGTATTCGACGGTAAGCTTTCCGTTTGACCCTCCTCTCCGAACTACTGGCAATATAATTTGTCCAGTACTTTCTGGAACTGTAATGCTGGGCTTTCCCATTTCGATGTATCCTGCTTTGACTGTAAAAGATATAGACGGTCATTAGATAGCTATTTATTGAATGCGTCTTTTCTAATATTATCCTCTCTCTTTTTGTATATTTATTCCTGCTTTGATATATTAACTACTTACAGAGTTTGGTTTACAACATAATAGCAAAATCTCTAAGTAAATTTTTCTTAATGTGCTTATATAACGAATTATGTTAGTTATGGTACATAGCAGTAATCAGACGCACTCATGGTTTGGTCTGTTGGGATTATGGAAAAGCATGCGATGGTCAGCTAAGGGAAGGGATGCTTTCGTGGAGAACTTTATAAAGGAAACTGGCTCGTATACACGTTACACATGGGGAAAATAACCCGTCGTATTTATGAGAACATTATAATATCCCTTGTTTTAAACTATTAGCTTTTCATTAAATTTCATATTAGATGAAAATTTGCCCCAAAGCTAGAAAGAATGTATTTTCTTGTACGAAGAAAGAATGTGATAGTAAAGAACTTAAAGAAGCTTTGAACTATGCTCTTGAAAGGTAATTAATAATCGATTTGTTATTTTTGTTGTGTAATTATTCTGATGGGTTAAGAAATGGAAGTCATTAAAGACAGAATGATTCTTTTAAATCAATGTAAGATAGAATTAAATTCATGTTACATTTGAACAGTTTGTTAGCTTCTTTAGAGACCATAAGATATTAAGGGTAGCCAGACGAGGAAAATAAAACATAATTGAGAAAAAATAAAGCAAAATAAAATAAAATAAAAATATAGTCCTGAAAGTTATGAGTAGTGGTCAGCATATGGTTACATTTAAACATAGAATCTGTAAAGTATTTTCTCCCTTCTTTCCGCATGCCATTCGTGATGTAACCGGAAACACGCTCGACACGGTTTCAGGAGGTCTGGAGTTTGACTTTTGGGAAGAAAGAACCGAATGGCTGTATAAAACTTAGTAAGAAGAAATCACTTAAAAACGCAAATAAAAAGATTTCATAATGTTGCTAACTCTAACATAATCTTCAAGTTTAAGGCCTTAGTAATAAGCATGTAATAATTTCTAACAGACAGTTCTATAATCCTGTTAAACTATTCACATCTGAAAATTCGAGAAATTTAGATATCAACTAGTATGCAAACCATGTACACTCTGCACAACTACAAAAAAAAAAAAAAAAAAAAAAAAAAAAAAAAAAAAACCAGGAAAAATAATGGCGCAGTTCTATATCTCCGATTGACGAAATTTAACTTGTACTTTTCATGTCTCAAAAACGTTACTCATGACATATATTAGATTTATATATCAGCATTAATCTAACATAAGTATTTTAACACAAAATTGGACGTTTTCTCAAATGAAATATCCATTTTTTTCCATCTTTCGATTCTACGTCTCAAATTATGACAAAGTGTCAAGTTTTGCAAAAATCGCGCAAGTAGTTTTTGAAAAATTAGCTTCCAAAATTTTAGCTCCTAAGTGTTAATCAAATTTGGTATATGTTTATTAATATCACTTTTTTATTAAACTTACTTGATTCCTTCTTTCCCAGTCCGAAAGCTAGTTCAATCCGCATAAAATTCGCACAAATTTCTGATTTATTTTTTAAATTTATATTTTTAATAATTTTTATAAGTTTTTCGAGAACGATTTTGCATCATAAACTATGAAACTTTTACTATCACCTTAAAGTTGATGCGTTTCTAGGAAAACCTGTAAAAAATTAGAGTTTTATATTCAAAATATAAAACTCTAATTTTCCTTCCGAACTTCGCGTTTATAAGCAATAATAACGTCAAATGTGGTTTACGCACTTTGTTAAAATTATTTCAAAGAATGAACGATGCGCCCTTTTTTTCCAATCGTACACAATGAAAGAGAAAGGAAAATAGGTTACCATAGATTTTGAGTTTCTCCATGTGAATTGTTCTTGGCGAAAACTGGAAAACGTACGCCAAGTAAAATTTTTTAATTTCTCGGTAAGTTTCTCACCATATTTTACAAAAATTAATGGTTAGGCGTAATTTAAGTCGTAGAATCGAAATACGGAAAAAACTCTGTATATCATTTCAGAAAAAGTCCGATTTTGTGTCGAAACACCTATGTTAAAACAACGCCATATATATAAATTTAATATACACTGAAGTGACAAAAGTCATGGGATAGCAATATGCAAATATACAGATGGCACTAGTATGGCGTAGAAAATGTATAAATGCGAAGTGCTTTGGCAGGGCTTTCATTTGTGTTCAAGTTATTCATGTGAAGAGGCTTTGACGTGATTATGGCCGCCGCACGACGAGAATTAACAGACTTTGAACGCGGAATGGTAGTTGGAGCTAGACGCATGGGTCATTCCATTTCGGATTATCGTTAGGGAATTCAACATTCCGAGATCCACAGCGTCAAGAGTGTGCCGAGAGTATATAATTTCAGGATAACCATGGACAGCGCAGCGCCGACCACTGCAATTAACGACCGAGACCAGCGACGTCTGCGTAGAGTTGTCAATGTTCACAGACAAGCAACACTGCGTCAAATAACCGCAGAAATCAATGTGGAACGTACGAGGGACGTGTCCAATAGGACAGTGCGGCGAAATTTGTCTTCCTTGGGCTATGCCAGCAGAAGACCGACTCGAGTGCCTTTACTGACAGCACGACATCGCCTGCAGAGACTCTCGTGGGCTCGTGAGCATATCGGTTGGTCCCTAAACGAATAGAAAACCGTGGCTTGGTCAGATGAGTCACGATCTCAGTTGGTAAGAGCTGATGGTAGGGTTCGAGTGTGGCGCAGACCCCACGAAGCCATGGACCCAAGTTGTCAACAAGGCACTGTTCAAGCTGTGTGGTGTTCCATAATGGTCTGGGCTGTTTTTACATGGCATGGACTCGGTCCTCTGGTGCAACTGAACCGATCATTGACTGGAAATGGATACCTTCAGCTACTTGGAGATCACTTACAGCCATTCATGGACTTCACGTACTCAAACAACGATGGGTTTTTTATGGATGACAATGCGCCATGTCACCGGGCCACAGTTGTTCGCGATTGGTTAGAAGAACATTCTGGACAATTCCAGCGAATGATCTGGCCACCTAGATCGCCCGACATGAATCCCTTCGAACATTTATGGAACATGATCGAGAAGTCAGTTCGTGCCCAAAACCCTGCACCGTCAACACTTTCACAATTATGGACGTCTATAGAGGCAGCATGGCTCAATATTCCTGCAGGGGACTTCCAATGACTTGTTGAGTCCATACCACGTCGAGTTGCTGCACTTCGTCGGGCAAAAGGAGGACCGACAAAATATTAGGAGGTATCCCATGACTTTTGTCACTTCAGTGTACAGGATGCCGACTAAAGACCAGTACCACCCGTTTAACTGCCGAACGGATGCAGCTATAGTCATAAAAGTGGTATCTAGGGTATAGTAAAGTGGCTATGCGCTACTAGATGATAGATGATATAGCGTTCAGCGTGGTGGAAAACAGCGGAGTTAGCGTCCCTATCTCGAAAACGATACGAGATAGGAAGAAAATGTGAATACAGAGTAGTAGAGCATTATGAATTTAGTACGAATAGACATCTTGTGAATATGAATGCTTAAACCAGAATATTTTAAACGCGCATTTGTTTGTTCGCGATTTCCGAAACTGTGACGTCATGAAACTATCTTAGAAAGAAAAAACAACTAGTTATCACAAGCTAACTTTATTTTTATTTTCGATGTTTTAAACTTCTCTCCATCAGTTGAAATGCACATCTGGACGTTTATTCGTTATTTTGCACATTGTAGCACAGCGGGTGACACGTTTGCACAAACATCTGTAATACGTCTTTAACGTCACTGCAAATGTTTGTGGAGGGGTCGCATACACCTGCTGTTTGAGGTATATGCATAGGAAAAGTTCGTTAAGTTAGGTAAAGCGAATGCGGAAGCCACTTTTCCCGTACCCGATTATTCGTTCTCCTAATTCCTCCATCAAGTAATGCTTCATTTGCGAAGTCATGTTGGAACCATCCATTCGGGAGTTGAAGCAACGGCAGGTTCTCAATAAAATCCGGTATTGTGTCTTGCAGAAGTTCTAAATATTGTGCGGCAGTTAACATAACTTGGTAAAATATAGAACCGATTAGCATGTTATTATAAATTCCCCACCAAACATTAATCAAAAACCGTATTTGATGTCAAACGTCGGCAGAACATGATGGAGTTTCCTATGTGTTCTGCCCATTGTATATTTCATTCCGCGAAAAGCATGCCTCATCCGTCCAACACTATACCTGCCAAGAATGTTGGCTAGACCTCTGTCTGATTCCTGACGAAGATGTACGATGTGAAACGTCTCTCGGCATTTCCGTCCAGTAATGTCTGATTAGGTGTTGGTCAGTATGGATGAGCACCTAATTCATTTAGGATTTTCCAAAAGCGACTTTTAGAGACGCCGCACTTTTCACCGATCTCTCTTGTGCTGCTGTTTGGATATGTGGGGCCGTATGATAAAACATTTTCCGGTTGCACTTTGCGCCCTACCTTAGCTGGTCTGCCGGATGAAGGATGCGGGTCTGCAGGAAAACGTTGCCGATGCAACCACGCTGCTGATCGTTCCTTGCGCTCACATTCAGCGTAAGTAGGGCCATCTCACAATAACCATTTTTTGAAAATCGCTCCAGGACCATGAGAATAACATGTAACCATGAGGAGATATCCTTTGTTTAACTGTTTCAGGTGAATAGGTGTTAAGTTTCATACACTATTTGCGTAATGCACAAATTTGCACACCAAGCTCTAGTTGCGTTGAGTTGAAGCGTTTTGAGACACGATTCTACGCATGTTGCATGTTGTCTACTCTGTTTGTACAGACAATCAGTACAAGAATGCACCCCGCGGGGTTTGAACCACAGTCCTCTCGACTGTGAGTTACAAGCGACAATCTCTGTGCCGTGATACGGACATGTTTTCCATCCGAAAGATAATTTTTTCTTCTTTTTTTCAAAAGTTTCGTGATGTCACAGTTTCAGAAATCGAGAACAGCGTTCTGGTGTTAGCATTCATATTCACAAGGTGTCTATTCGTACTAAATCGATGATGCTTTACAACTTTGTGATTCACGTTTTCTTCCTGTCTCGTATCGTTTTAGAGATAGGGACGCTAACTGCGCTGTTTTTCACCAGGTGGCGCTGAAAGCTATCTCATCTAGTAGCGCATAGCCACTTTAGTATAGTTGGACATAACTTTTATGAAAATAGCTGCAGCCGCTTGCCAGTTAAACGGGTGGTACCGGACTTTAGTGGGCACCCTGTATATCCTAAGTAGAGTTTTCGAAACATGAAAAACGCAAAATAAATTTCGTCAATCGGCCCAGTAAAACGGGAGATATAGGACTGTCCCCCTCCTTTCTTCTTTTTTTTATTCAACGCAGAGTTTTCTGTACTTGTTATAAATCTATACTTCTGTACTTCACAATCTTCTGTACTTGCTACAAATGACGTATTAAAAGTCAAAAGTTTTTATTTCTATATGCATATATACCTGGAATTTATATGCTTTGTTATTTGTGCATTTATGCGGAGAGAAAAAGGAAACTATGGATAATAAAGGTAAACCTAAAATAATATAGCTGCTTCTGGCACACTTTCTCAACGAGTGTAAAACAGGAAATCAGTAAAACAAGAAATAAATAATTAGTTTTTGTTTTCTTACGATCGGAGTTTAGAAAGATATAAAGTAATGAGAAATATAGCATTATTTGCTTAAAAATAAAATTAATTGCCAAGAAAACACACTTCTGAAGAAAATGCTAGAATTTTAGCGATTTTCCATTTTTGTGGCATCTGTAAAAGTAATGATCTTAATCTTTAATATGAAACATAGCTAATGAAACATACGAAAGTAGGAAGAAACAGTCGTGCTATAATTAAGCTAATTATTAAAAGATATAGGCTTGCAAGTGCATTCCAGGACAGAGCATTAAAGTTAGCCCAATTGTATAACTAAGTGCGTTTTAAACCGAAGTTACACGGTTCGTTTGGCTTAGCTCTCGAATTCGACATTTTTTACAAGATACAAGAGAAGAATAATTACTGAGAATTTATTGATATCAGAGGGTTTCTGAGCCACTATGCGCACGTTTATTTTATCCAAACAGTAAAGATCCTTTCCTTATTTCAATATAATGGATATTGAATTTTGTAGGAAGAATAAAGCTAAATTTTCAGAATGAACAAAATACTTTTATTTGAATTTTAAACAGAAGCAAAAAAATAAATGTTGCAGCTCTTAACTTTCAAAATTTTAAACTCTTAACTACTACAGTTAAAACTCTTATAACTATTAAAATATTAAAACATTAAACTCTCTAAACAAAATATATAAAAATCTTCCGAATCCTCTTCTTGTTGCCACACCGTAAAATGCAAGTTCTTGTCCTATTATTTATATTTCACGTTCTCTTTAAGTCACGATCTTTACAAGTCATGATCTTTACAAGTCACGATCTTTACACAAACCTCAAAAAAAGCATGTGAATGAAAATTTCCAGTATTATAGCACAATTAACGCGTAGCTTAACAGATAATTCGATTTCATATGTTAATGTAGAGATTAAAAATGCTTTTAAAATTGCAAAGTACTCGTGAATGAAGTGAGGCGTGATTTATGACAGCTTCATAATTAATGTTATGCTGAAGCAATAAAAATATTTCCGAAATAAACTTCAGTATTTTTATTAGTAATTACAATTTCAGAAAATTATCTAAAGAAAGAGTTTTCTTCCAATAAAATAATTTAATACTTACAGTCGTCGTCAACTATTTCAATTAATGTCGACACAGCAGATCCAAGAAGACCAGGATCAGTAACTCCTACCGCATTCATGGTATTACTGAGTTTAACATGAAAACTTTCATTGGGCTCAAGTATATTATCATTCACAATTATGACGGTAATTGTCCTTAGAATTTCCCCATCCTGGAAAACCAGTAATCCACTCGCTGGTAAATAATCTGTATGAACTCTGGCTGTTCCATCCACAGTTGTGTATTCAACGGTAAGCTTTCCATCTGATCCTCCTCTCCGAACTACTGGCAATATAATTTGTCCAGTACTTTCTGGAACTGTAACACTAGGCTTTCCCATTTCTATGCATCCTGCTTTGACTGTAAAGATATAGAAGGGTATTTAGCTCATTTTCTGTTGAATGCATCTACTCTATAATACTCTATTTCTATTCACTTTTACATATATTTATCCTGTTTCCATATATAAATTACGTATGGCATTTGATGTATCACTGAACTGAAATTGTGAAACGAACTATAATTAGTTATTTTCCTTAATAAGTTTTTGTTAGCTATATAAGGTATTTCTCGAGCCTTCCTAGCGTGCCTTCGTCGTGTAGTGGTCAGCAAGCTGGGCCGCTATTCCATAGGTCCGCGGTTCAATTCGAGGTGAAGGCTTTGTTAATTTTTCATCTTTCTGGCTTTTCCAAAATATCTAATCTACAATGGCCTCTACAGTGGCTCCCGAACTAAAAGGGTGTTGGATGATGATTCTCCTCACCCAGGATTTGGCGATTGAGTCGACTAGAAATCCCAGTCGTCCTTTAAACGGATATATAAGTATATAAGGTATTTCTTCCGCCTTCCTGGCATGCCTTCGTGGTGTAGTGGTTAGCACACTGAGCCGGTATTTCAGAGGTCCGTGGTTCGATTCCCGGAGAAGGCGATTGCTAATTTTTCATCTCTCTGGCTTCCAAAAATCCTAATGTCTCTACTGCTACATCAATACATTTTCACAGCAGACTCGGTTAGCTTTATTAGGTAGGACTACTAATTATTAGGCAGCATTTAGTAGGCAGCATTATCATTAATTTGCCAGAATGTTCCAGCGTTTTTTTAACTTTTTTTTTAAGCGTATTAGCATTTCATTAAAACTGAGCATTTTGGATGTGTTTAAAGTCAGAAAAATCATTCTTTTGTACAAAAGAAGAACGAGATAACAATGATGTGGGTCTTTTACTCTAAGTAAATTAGTTTAAGATTCTTTAAACTCTAATTAGACTGACAAGCAAATTGTTGCTCAGTATGTGAAAACTGTGCGAAATTCTAAGAAGATTTTGAAGAACTATTTTTATTAAAATATTGCCTTACGAGTTACGTAGCTTCGGCGTATAAATTAAAACTCCACCAATTTTAGGCAATGGATAACAGAAAATCAAATTCACAAACTGATGTAATACGTCGCAGGCGACTACAATACCAATTGCCTAAATATACGTTGTCTCAAAATTTTAATTACTCCATTTAACCTCGGCTAACAAAATGGGTAATACCGATATACTCATCTAGCAGATCTGGGGAAGAAGATAGAACTATAAATGCGAGAGTCGTTGCCAAAAGTTCTGTTCTCCCTTCTGTTCCAAAAGTTCTCCCCAGAGGTCGACTGGGAGCAATTCCATCGTTCTGGTTAGGTCAATACTTATACAGATTCGACTTCTGGAGGCAAATTAACAGTCTTCACTGCGACTAGAACCTGCGTTATATGGTTTTGATGTCGCAGGTTGTCCGTGGGGTGTGGCTCCTTTTGGTCAACTTTGGGATACTGTCAATGTCGAACTGTGTTTCATGCTTTCTCGATGGATGCGCAGTCGAGCATGATTGACTTTGTGACTTATTTCCTCAGATTTCGTGAAACAAAAATTGTTCTGGTTTGACCGCGTGGTTATACCTCCTTGCATCGCCTCTAAGGGTTGGAGTGTTTAACTGTGTTAAGGCAAGCCATGAGGTAGCTACGCCTAGTTGCCCTTTCCTCCTAGTGTATAACCGTATCTAAAACTTGCAAGAAATGCCCCTTAAATAGTCGTAATTAATTTACATCCTGATGAAAGCTAACGAAGAGGAAGAGTGACAACATAGATTAATGAGCTTTGAGAAATTTTGAACAGTCTCTTAAAAAGAAAAATAAACGGTGAAATAATTTATTTATAATTATTTTGATAGATAAATTACTGCAAATAGTAAAAGGATAGGAAGATGCCCTTAAATCCCCACTTGATAGTATGAAGTTCGTTTAAAAGCTGAATAATCTGTTAGCTTATTTATAGGCAATCAAATATAGCCTGTTTATGAAAATATAAAAAATCGCAGAAATTATGAGTAGTGGCCAGCATATAGCAGGGGTTCTGAACCCTTTTTGCCCCCTGCACCCCTTTCACCATTGCTAGATGATCATCCCCCTCACCTTCCCAAATTGAAAAAATACTTATACATATTAATTTGAATTTAGATGTTTTTTTAATCTCTCTTATAAATTAAACAAGAAAAAATATAGAAAATGATGATAAATACTGAAACTTGAATGAAGTGATTTTTTGTATCCGTAAACTAAAATTAAATCTTTAACAGGTCAATAAAAGGCTGACTGCATTCTCTTTCTGAAACTATAAAATTCACCCTAGAGAGAATTCACACCTGGTTGAGAACACCAGGTACGAGTATATACAATTTGGAGCAATGTTATCGTTGTCTGCAATACTTCATAACCTAAAAAATAATTATTAGTAGTAATCAAATTTATATGCATGAATGTATATTTACAATATGAAGAAAAATAGAAATACATTCATTGCAATAAATTATTAAAGATGAAGAATGTCTCAAAATTTTTTTATTAAAACCAGAAATAAATCGAAATTCTTGATGAAGTTTGATTCACATGTTTTTTCAAATCCTGATCACATTTTTCAGGCATTTAGTGTGAAATAGAAAAATTTGAATATACGCTCGAACCCCGCTATTTCGAACGCAGTTTATAAAGAGATCTTGGTATAACGAATAAACCTTTGGGTCCTATCCAGTTTTCTGGAAACTTAATGCTGTTTTATACTGTTATAACCTCCACGAGTATAAAAATCGAATATAGTGAACTTTATGGAATTTTTTTCGATTAGAATTCTTTATATTTTCTAATTTTTTTCAGAATTTGTGCAAGGTTTAACGAATAAATTTCTAACCGTTAAACTCCTTTAACGTTTAGAATATTAGGATCCACATTCCATCCGTAAAAGAAAATATCTTTAAATTTTTCTTTCTTTTTTTTTTTTTTTTACCTTCCCTGCATTTTTTTCTGTGTTCTAAACAAAGACAATGAGAGACATATTGGACACTCAACTCTGGAAGAACAAGTATACAATAAGCCTAATTTAGCACACGATAGAGTGCACATAACTATGAAACTAAAAAACGTAAATGGATTCTCTGATTTTGGTCGAATTCTTTGATTTGGGCTGCCTGATAGAAATCTGTGTAAAGTTGATGTTATGATAGAAGTTCAGAAATTTTCGCTGTTAAGAGAAAGAGTAAGTAATGAATTTTATGAGCTGTTTCTTGCCTTAGGGAATGGAATTCTTTTATCAGTTGTTTTGTTTGAGTATAAATGCTGTTAAAGTTCATCTTTCGAATAGGGATTTTGCATTCTTTAGGTGCATTAAAAGATATCAAATATTCTTTATAAAAGTTATTGAATCTTCGAGTCGCAACCATATAAATCCTGAGAGAAATGATTGTGTTCTCACTGGACGTTGGATAAGACAGGTAGGTGACAAAATTATTTTCCTTTTTGGTTTTCTTCAAAAGAACAACATGCTCAGGCTTTCTTTGACCAAATTGTCTGCAGGCTGTTTCTGTGTAAAACATTCTGCGACATGACGAACTGTAAACGTAAGCAGTTAATAATAATAATATAATATAATAATAATAATAATAATAATAATAATAATAATAATAAAATATAATAAAATAATGATAATAAATAAATAAAATACAAAATATAAGTACTCAAATCTATATCTGCTAGAAATGCAGTTTATCCGAATCAACTGTTGGTACCATATAAAAGAAACCGAAACTCATGAACAAAATTAATCTGCTCATAAAACAATATAGATAAAAAAGAAATCTGAAAGGTTTCAGATTTTAAATTACGTCCAAAGGGGCGTTTATTTAACATTTTGTGTGTTACATTTATTTATTAAATATCACGTTCTTCGCACTGAAACCATAAAATTCAGCTCAAGAGCAATATCGCAAAATAGTTTTATATTGAGCAGATCTTTAGAATTTCCGATACAGAGTCTCGCGTGCTGGAGATAGAACTGTTTTTTCTATACAACGTTGCCATAGCTCGCTTTCAAATCCTTGAATTTGTTAATCAAAATTCGTTAAAGTTTTACAAAATATAAAATGGATAATAAAACAAATTCCAAATTTCAAATTTGGGCTTCCACATGCCCATATTCGTCATTCAAAATTCTATGTACCGTTGTTTTATCACTATGCGAGAAATATACATACATTTATGCACAGTTTTCATTATTTAATTTCTTCAAATATAATGCAGGACTTTTAAGATTTGGTGGCAACAGTCTATAAAGTGAAACGGACATTTATAGTGAACCAACGCAAATTTGCAAAACGAAAACAATAGTCCTTCAGGGACAAAGCCCCTTTGGACTAAAAATGTTGAGAAATGTAGATAGGGATCTTAAAGAAGAATTGCTGAAGCTGTTCGCCAATTAAAGAAGCCATAATTTGCCATATGGTGATAAATACTTAAAACAAAGGCCGATGAATTTGACATACACTCTGGGAAAAATGAAAAAGAGCAAAAACAAACTTGGTAATTATGCTTTATAATATTTACAATTAAATCTTAATATGATTTCTCAAATTAGATTTACTAGCCATTTATTTTGTTAGATGGGACAATGCTAATAAGTTTTTTTTTTCATCCTTAAATTTTGTTTTATTTATTTATTTGTTTGTTTGGTTTGTTTTTTGTGAGATAACCCCTTTTTCTTATTGGATTGGTTATAACGAACCGAAAGATATAGAGAGCCAAACTTCCGGTAGTTTGAACTTCGTTATAGCGGAGTTAGACAATATTGCTTGCTTTACATTTAAAGTTGAAAGGGATGAAGGAAATAAAAATTAGTTATTTTAGTGTTTTAACGTTATTCCATCTTCATTGCTAAACAGTATAAACTGTTTAAAGTTGACTGGAAGATGTAATGTTATCGAAAATGTCGTTATAGCCGTGTTATCTGAAATTAAAAACTACAGTATCAAGGGTAAGTCCTATTGTTCAGTTATGTATAATAAATTATTTTCAGTCTGCAACTGCATAATAGAAATACGTGCATTCAGGCATAAGACGAATAAAAAAAATAAGAAAATTATGATAATATTAAAACATCTGAAAGGGTTAAGATTTTAACGATAGCCCAAAAAAGATTTGTTAAGGCTTTTTATGCTCTCGCTGAGTTCGCAGTCTACCAGTCTGCTATTGCACTCACTCTGCTAACCCATTTCTTTTTGTCTCTTTAGCTTTATTATTAAGCATAATTTTATTAGTAAGAATCATCACACTTACGCATACAGACAAATTATAAAATTTTTAAAGCAGCATAGCAGCATATATTTAGAGTATTCGATGCGGTGGTAAGTGTTGGCGTACTTTTTTAACTAATTATTTTAATTTTGTTATCTTTCCTGAATGCTCTTATTTCCCCTCACCAGGATGCAAATTAAGTAAGTGAACAAAAGTATTTAAACGGATGAAATGAGAAGGTTAGACAGAACGTGATTTCGCTAGTGGTAGCGCACATTTGCTATTTTGTCGTTCAGCTGATAATCTTAATAGCGGCTATACATTCTAGCAGTCTAGTTAGTATATCGCCGTGTAGGTTGCTGAGTCAGACTGTTAGATTAAATTAAATTGTGTAGTCTAGCACTACTTCTTACCTTTTGAATTTAATGTTAAATTATCTTTAAGTTCTTCCGGCAAGTAGTCGGTGCTGTTACCGTACGCAAGGTCTTTCCTTTCTGTTAAAGAATTGTGCTTAATAAAAAAGGGCTTTTTATACCATTTCCCTGTTGTGTTCGTCTTCACGCCTGTGCGAGAAGTTGCCAGTTTGGATACTGAGATCTAGTCGCATTGCATGATAGCTAAAAAGGTTAGATGTTACACATCATATCAATGTTCAGTTTTCCTAACGATGGCTTGCAAAACTTTTTTGTCTTTTAATTATTAACGTTTTGTGTGTTAACTGTATTAATTATCTTGTTCTTCGCACATACGCCACATAAAATTCGATTCAAGAGCAAAATCACAAAATTATTAAAACCCAGCTTATCTTTAGAATTTCTGACAGGCAGTTTCGCACGCTGGACATAAAAATATTTTAATCCGTACAAGTTGCCACTACTTGCTTTCAAATCGTCGAGTTAGTTTATTAAAAATTCATTAAAATTTTAACAGTATATGAAATATAAAATTCAAAATTCAGGCTTTAAGGTGCACAATTTTAATTGAAAATTTGATAGCTCTAGGTACCCGTGTTTTATCAACATACATACATACATGCAGATTCTTCATCATTTAATTTCTTTAATAATAATAATAATAATAATACAAAGCGATAATATTTAGTGGCAATAATTTGAAAATGAATTCGTGCTTTATATTGGACGACGTAAAATCCCGTTCCGAGATTAACAGCCATTCGGGCTAACGCTCTTTTCGGCTAATAAGTCGTTTGGAAAGCACAAATAGAAAAGTTTCCATAATGCTTTTAATTGCAATATACGTCCTTGTGCATAACACCTTAATAATAAGCATCTATTGTATTCTATCTGACAATTCCATAATCTTGTTTGACTATTCTTATTTGACAATTAGAAAAATTTAATTAACAATTAGTGCAATAACCGATGAACTATAAAAACGCGTACTTGTTATAAATGATATATTAGAAGTTAAAAGTATTTATTAATTGCGTACATTCCTGGAACTTACATATATGTGCATAAATACAGACAAAGAAGGAACAGATAATTAAACCAGAGCAGAAACATCATAATTTCTTCTCAGCATTCTCTCGAGCTGTGCAAATCAGAAAATCAATAAAACAATTAAAAAATGCCTATACTCATAAAGCTAAGTATATAAAAACCTAAAGAAGATAATTTTAGTTTTTAGCCCGAAGCGATGTTAGACGCAAAGGGTTGTTAGTCTCAGAATGGCATTTTGCGTTGTTTTACTTTCTGCGTTGATCCACTTTTCAGACTGTTGCCACTAAATATTATCGCCACGTATTATATTTAAAGAAACTAATTAATGAATGAAGAATTTGCATGAATGCATGAATGTTTCTCGCATTGTGAAAAAACAACGGTACCTAGAGCCGTCCAGTTTTGAACAACTTTGTCCTCCAACCCAACATGGGCACTTGGAAGCCCGATTTTTGAATTTCGAATTTGTTTTATTATCTATTCCAAATTTTGTAAACTTTAACAAATTTTTTATTAACAAACTCATCGATTTCAAAGCGAGCAATTGAAACACTACGGGAGAAAACATTTTTATCTCCAGCGCTTGAGCATGTGTATCGGAAATTCTAAAGATATGCTGTTTTTAAATATTTTGTGATATTACTGTGAAATTGAATTTTATGTGGATTAAGTGCGAAGAACATGATACTTAATAAATCAAGGTAACAAACAGAACGTAAAAAAAAAAAAAAAAAAAAAAAAAAAAAAAAAAAAAGAGTTCCTTTGGGCATAATACAAAATCTGAATGCTTTCGATTTTTTTTTTGGGGGGGAGGCCTTCCGATGAGAGTTTACGAAAACAAAAAGAAATGAAAAACTTAGTAATTGAATTAGAAATAAAATTAATTAACAACGGAGTTCCAAGGGGAGGCGGAGTACCATCTTAACTATTGACAGTTTTCCTATAAGTGTCACAAAAGTTTGTATAAAAGCAATAATTAAAGTCTAACAAGAAATACATTTAAATGATATCATGTTCTAAAGTAGGAATAAGCAAGTTAGAGCTAAGCTAATTATATAAAAGGCCTATGCGTAGGAATGCAGTCTAGCAGAATATTAAACCTGGTAAAATTGAGCAACTTGTACGTTTTATGAATTGCATATATGTGGATCCAGATTATATCAAAGTTAGTTTAGCTCAGTTGCTGAATTTAACATTTATACATGGATAAGATAATTAATGAGAACTTGGCCGATATGAGGGGATTTCTGAGCAGTCATAAGCATTTTTATTTTATCGCAACCTTGAACATAGCATGAACATGAATGGAAAATCTGAGAGTTGATGATAACACAGTTACAAAGCAACTGAGTACAGTTCGATTTCATATTTTAACAGTCTGGCCATTGTCTATTTGCTTATGAAATTGGAAAGTGAAACGAAAACAAATGACAGATTTGACGATGGCCATTTATTGATGTCATATTGAAACAAAAGAAGTATTTCCAATTACAATTTCAGTATTTCTACACCACAGAAAATTAAAACTCCTAAATATTATACTTACAGTCATCGTCGACAATTTCAATAACACTCGACACAGCAGGTCCAAGTAGACTAGGGTCAGTAACTCCTACCGCATTCTTGCTGTTTCTGAGTTTAACCTGAAAACTTTCGTTGGGCTCAAGTATATTATCATTCACAATTATGACAGTAACTGTCTTTAGAATTTCTCCGTCCTGGAAAATTAGTAATCCACTCGCTGGTAAATAATCTGTTTGAGCACTGGCTGATCCATCCACAGTTGTGTATTCGACGGTAAGTTTCCCATCTGACCCTCCTCTCCGAACTACTGGCAATGTAACTTGTCCAGTACTTTCTGGAACTGTAATCCTGGTTTTTCCAATTTCTATGAATCCCGCTTTGACTGTAATGAGAATAGAATAAATGAAATAGGAGGATCGACAGAACGCTGTCTCGTGAATACATCTTAGGCACATTAATCCTATTTCGATATATTAATTATTTCTAGTATTTGATTTATTACTAAAGCCCGAGCGAATTTTCTAAATAAAGTTTTCTTAGCTATATTAGTTTATTTATATAGTAGATTCGATTAGCTTTACTAGGAAGCATTTATAAACTGCATTTATCAGAATGTTACAATATATCTGCTGCTTAAACTATTTTCATTTTATTAAAACTAAGCGTTTTTTAATGCACGAACTGCGTTTACTTAAATACATAAATAATACAATATTGTTGCGAATTCTGGGATCGTTGATGTTTCTTTAAAATAATTCCGAATAAGCAAGAAGAAATGAACAATTTATTATGAAAATAGGCACAATAATGGCTGGAAATAACTGAAGGAGAACTCGGATATTTAGCAGTTCCACCTCAACACACGAAATAAATTGTAAGTTTCCTCAGTTCACTCTCAGGGTAGACCCTAATTCGTAATTCAGCTAACCGCTAAGCTTCACAGCCAATTTGCAACTGTTTCACAACTGAGATCCCCAGCTCTCAGACCAGTATTTGTGCTTCCTGAAGCGGAGGCTCTTTCTTTCTTTCCACCGACAGCGGGGCAGTTAGAATATCGTCCAGGGAACGGAATTACTGACAGAATTAACTTTGCTATGTAATACATTGTGACTATGAACATTTAACAGAATTACTAATGAAGACAATATACACTGTAGAGACACTAGGTAATTTTTTCAAGCAGAAGAGGTGAAAAATTAGCAACGTCTTCGCCGGGAATCGAACCACGAACCTCTGAATACCGGCTCAGATTGCTGACCACTGTACCACGAAGGCAGGCTAAGAAGGCGGGAGAAATACCTTACAACACAATTACTCAGGGATAACTTCAAGTGAGTACATGACATTAATTAAAAAATAATTAATATACATATTCAGATATATTAAATAAACAAATTAAAAACGCATGAGCAAGAAATAAAGCAAATGAAAATAAATAGTAGCGGACAGAAAATGCTAACTTAAATAAGCTGCAAGTACAGAATACATAGTGGCTGTGCTCGCGACGAGGATAACTGATGAAAGTTAGTTCAGCCTGTTTGAGATATTATGTGCGATATTGACACAAGTGTATATGCGTTTCAAAGCATAAGTAACTTCAGCCCATGCACGGATATGCTAATCTGCTGGTTGTCTGAGGTGATGTTCTGCTGTTTCTCTGGAAGCGAACACATAGTAGACCGGACCTCCTGCCACGCCGTATGAGCACTGGTCATTTTCAAGTCATCTAAAGCTCTAGAAACTTCTGTAATTGTCGGTTCGAAAAGGCGTTTTCGAGAATCTTCCAGAAAATTTCCGAAGTTGGCGAGAAATCACCAAATGTCGCCAGGGACCCTCAGGAACGAAATTCCCTGCATCTTGAGTTCTAATTGAGCTCTTTTTACAATTCTAAAACCGTTTCACTCAGAATTAAAATATCTATATTTCTGTGCAACATATAAAACTTTAATACAAAATTTGTGTCCACAAGTTACATTAAACCTAAAATAAAACATAAAATTACCATTACTGTTATAAACACAATAAATAAATAAAATGAATAATTAAAACAATTCTAAATATTCCCACAATGCAAAATATCAAAAATACAATAAAAAGGATTGAATATTTACAAATGTTGGATTAGCAACTAAGTGATTACAAATTTTAAATAGAATATTACTTGAAAATATAAATCTGTTAAATTAGGTATTGTCTGTTTATGTCGATGATCTTTTGCCATCTTTCAGCGACTGCCATAATTCCATGTTCAAAAAACCTCTGATTTGTTTCAGCAAAAAACTGAATTAAATGAGATTTTACATCAGCGTCATTAAAAATTCTGCCATTTAAGGATTTCAACATGGAAAGAAATAAACGGAAACCAAACTCCAATATTTTTTTATGAGTGACCAAAGATCAATAGGGCTTTGCATTATCATGTTGGAAAACAACACTTTTACGATTTGCCAACTCTGGCCGCTCTTTACGAACTGCACTGCTCAGTTTGGCGAATTATTGAAAGCAGACGTTTGAATTAACCATGACTTTAGTTTCTTGGTAGCGCAGAACTGTTTTATAATCCCACCAGACAGTCAGCATATTTTTTGGTGAATCTATATATGTGTATATAGATATATACATGTAATATTTTAGCAGTCGTGATGAAGCTTGGCATCAAAGTTCAGGTATGGTTTTTTGCAGAGTGGTAAGGAGGATATCCAAAGACGACACAATTTGGTTTAGCTTTTAAATCGCACATTTTTATTTAATCCAATTTGCAGATCATTTTCCTTTTAGATGAAAACTCTCTAAATTACATATCATTGTGATTTTAACTAAGTAGGATTGAATTTAAACTTTATGCGTCATAACTAATTCTCACAAAGGAAGAAAAGATGGACGGGGCAGCGCAGAGTCTTGTAGCAGCGAGATTAGGAACGCGTAGTCAGTATTTATACACTGACTACCAATAAGTATTTGGACACCTATGCAAATGACGATATCTGCAGTCCTAAGGTACGTCCCGGATTCCGCCGGTATATATCGTGTAGGAAACAGCATCGGCTTTAGTCGCATGCAAGATGCCTCGCAGTTCGGAGCTCTCTGATTTCAAGAAAAGTATAATTATCGGGTATCACAAATGTGGCCGATCCTTAAGGGACATATCTAGCGATCTGAAGTACTCAAAATCGATAGTGGCCTATGTGATTAAGAAGTGGAAGGTGAGCGCTGATTGTCGGAATGTGCCCCGAATAGGCAGACCAACGAAACTGGGAGATAAAGACCGACAAGTGCTGTCCAGAGAAATTCGGAAGAACCGCACCCAACCGATGGCCCTCATCCGCGAGGAGTTTCAACAGACATCTGGGAGTATATATACCATCCGTAAGGAAGCACATCTGCTTGATTTTCCTGGTCGTGCTGCTGCCCATAAGCCTTTGATCACAAAGTCCAACCGCGCTGCTCGGTTAATGTGGTGCAAAGCACATCGAAATTGGACCGTAGATCAGTGGAAACGGGTTCTTTGGAGTGGCGAATCAAGGTTCACCCTTTACCGTTTGGATGGCAGGGTCTGGGTCTGGCGTCTACCTGGAGAACGTCTCCTGCCAGAATGCATTGTGCCAACAGTCAAGTTCGGCGGAGGTGGAATTATGGTCTGGGGGTGTTTCTTCTGGTATGGGCTGGGACCCTTGGTCCCCATTCATGGTAAGCTCAACTCCGATGCCTACTGCACTATTCTGGATGACAATATGCTTCCTACGTTGTCGCAATTTTACGGGTTGGACCCCTGTTACTTTCAGGACGACAATGCCAGTTGTACTGTTTCGACGTTAACCAAGGCTTGGTATGGTGCCAATCGAATGGACTGGCCTGCCCAGAGTCCACACCTGAACCCTATCGAGAACCTCTGGGACGAGTTGCATCGCCGAATTCAGGGGTGCACTACCCGTGCAAAATCGGTGAAGGAACTTCTATGTCTTCTCCAAGCCGAGTGGAAGAAAATACTTCTAGCTGTCATACAAAGACTTGTGGAAAGTATGCCCCGGAGGGTCCACGCTATAATTACCTCTCGTGGAGGCTCTACCAACTATTGATTTTGAATAAAGTTAGTTTTTCTTTTCTATCACAGATGTCCAAATACTTATTGGTAGTCAGTGTAGTAGCGGTTACGTAACAGGCTAGCAAATTCTATGTAGAAGGTACTGGTCTAGGGGGAAGATCCTGAATTGCAGAAAATTAATTAAAGGTTGCGTGTTCCCGAAGAGCAAAGCCCTCGTATGTTTTTATATTTTACATATATATATATATATATATATATATATGTGTGTGTGTGTGTGTGTGTGTGTGTGTGTATGTATGTTTGTTATAAATGATGTATTAAAAGTGAAAAGGATTTAACTTTATATATGTACATTCCGAACATTTGCATGTTATATATAGTATACAGACACATACAGAGATTGTGTGTGTTTAAGTGAACAGTGGGAGAGAACTACAGATAATGAAAACAGACCAACAATTTTTCCTTAGCAATTAATCTAGAGGAATGCAAAAATAAAGTCAAAAATAATATAGCTGGCAAAAAAATTCTTGTTTTTAGCTTTTGTAGATATTAGCGATAGTAGTTTACAAAGACGAAAGAAATGAAAAATAGTTTTTCAATAAAATAAAATTAATTAACAGGAGGAGCTATTCTCGATAAAAAGCTTCCAGAACTTTAGCGGGTTTCTTATAAAATATATAACCTTAATTGAAAATATAATATCCAGTTTCTTTTAAAATATATAACCTTTAAAAGGAACCTTTGACCTATATCTGCGAGCCTTCGACTACATTCGAAAACATAGAATTAAAGCTAAACCAATTGTGGAACTATTGCATTCCATGTATTTATTGTATATACAGAAAAGCCAAGTTATACAGGTTATTTTTCGTAGTTTGTGATTTTGACAATTATGCAAATGAAAGATACTTAAGACAGAATTTGTTGATTCGATGGTGTTTCTGAGCTCCCTATAAGCCCTTTTGCTTTATCTGAACCTTGAACACATTGTAAGGTATTTTCACCCTCCTTTCCGCATATCCTCGTAGTAACTGGAAGCACGTCCGACACCTATTTGGAAGGTTCAAAGTTCGAATCCCGTCAAGGGTACTGCTGATTTCTTCCGTTTCCTGGCATCGAAAAAATTCTACAAGCCTCTACAAGTGGCATTCGAACTGAAAGGTGGTGGACAATAAATCGTCAACACCAAGATTGGCGACTGGGTCCCCTAATTCCAAGCCGCTCTTTAAAAAGGACGTATGCCTTCATGGTGTAATCGGAAGCACGGTCGACGCGTATTTGGGATGTCCGGAGTCCGAATCCCGGCGAGAGCATTGAACATTTTTAACGTTCCTGCATGATATAACCTAATGACTCTTGAAAAGCCTCAGTGTTAATACCTGAGCTGTTAAGTAGTTAAGTGGCCAGTTCGATTTCATACTTTAACATATAGATTAATTGCATCACAGTTCAATTGCTTAGGAAACTGCAATGTGTACCCAAACCAAGCGGGATACTTAGTTTTTGGAAAATTTCGATTTTTATGCATATTGAAACAATTGTCTTTTCCACAGCAAATTGAAATTTCAGTGAATTAGATGAAGAAAGAATATTTTATGAATAAAAGGAAGAGAGGAGAGAAACACAAAGTAAAACAGAAAAGCAACCTTGTGTATGGCGTAGAATTTAGCCAAGACTCTGTCGATTTCGAGAGCAAACACGTACAGACTCTCCCTTCCCGTCAGGAGCAAAGAAATCTGCAATGAAGAGAAAAACCATCGTAGTATTTGTACCCAAAAGGAATAAATCGAACTAGAAGAGAGCTTTTGGCATACATAGTAACGAAACGTGAAAAATAAATTTAACAGAATTTAAAAGATTTTCGGAAGGAATGCATTGAAATTAAAGTCATTAATTAAACAAGATAAATCCCTGTGAATGTGAAGAATTTCAAGAAAATCCAATTCGCCATTGGAAGATTTTTGGATAATTACTGCATACTTAGAAATAAAATTTCGATTAAATTTTTAACTAAAATTAGCTATCAAAGACTTATTAATTTCGCCTTTTCGTACATAAGATTCGTATTCCTTGATGCGAAACTTAAACGCTGTTTTAGTTTGGCCGATATGTATCAAACCACACTGATAAGATATGCTAGAAATTCCCCAATGTTTAAGGTTAGGAATGAAATCTTTAAGAATCGAACTAGGGAGTTTATTGATAAGCGAGAAAATAACTTGAAAATTGAACTTCTCGAGAATACTTGCAATTTTCTAACTGATAGAAGGATGAAACAGAAGCCCGACAAACTTATTTATGTTGTTTCTGACAGCGGAATATCTTCTTTGGTGGCAAGATGGAAATGTTTTAGAGGTATTATCAATGACCACAGGAGAAAATGATCTTAGTCAGTGGTAAATGATCTCAAATAATTCAGTCGATTAGCAAGTAAAGGTTCTGAGGAACAAACTCTAAGAGTGCGAAATACATAATAGTTAAAAAAAAGCCAATCTTTGCTTAGCTGGGTGGGATGACTTAGCATGGAAGGCAAACCAACAGAAAAGAGCTTACTGTAAACAGTAGGGCTGAAATCAGATTCACTGCGGATTATAAGAATCTCAAGGATGGGAAGGGTATAGTCAGATTCAGTTTCAAAAGTGAACTGAATGGTTGGATCAGCCGAATTATAATAGATAAAATCTGGGATAAATCTTCTTTATTACCATAAAAAAACGCGAAAGATTCGTCTACGTCGCAAACCCAGAGACGAAAAGAAGGTTTCTCAAATAATATGACCTCGACACAGTGCATGTAAAAGTCAGCACGTAAAGTACGTACATAGCGCATGAAAAGTCAGGACAGAGGGGATTATCCATAGTTAATCCTTCAAGTTAGCGATAATTTTCATTTTGGAAAGCAAAGTGGGCTTGACTCAAAGATGCTTAGTGAGAGAAATTAACATTTCAATTTCAGTATGGCTTAAATGGATTCTTGAAGCGTAGTTTCAAGACATTTTAGTCCTCCTTCAGCTGGAACATCAGTAAAGAGTGATTTAACATTAAAATAATAATAATGGAGCACAAAGGCGAAATATCTTTAAGTTTATCGACGACTTCAAAAGAATGTTTCACAGTGTGAATATTGTTAGAAAGTAAAGGAGAAAGTACAGAAACTAAATATTTGGCCCGAGGCTATGAGTCTAATCGTAAGTCAGAAACTGTAGATCGAAAAAGAACTACAGTTTTGTATACTTTGGAAAGGGCAAAAATTTTAGCACAGTTAGCAATAGGTGGAATGAGTGACTTTTCAAATTGAATTGGGAGTATATGAGAAGATTTAATAGCTGTTTTAACTTTCGTTGGGAACAGAAGTTAAAGGATCTTTAGGAAGGATCCAGTAGAGGTTGAAGGATCTAGTAATATGGGCTTTCAAATTTTGTTCTTCGAAATCTTTGCTTGCTAATGAATTTAATTCTTTGAGATTAGTTGCCACTGACCGAAAGTTTTCTTCCGTGGTCATTGATAAAACCTCTCAAATATTTCAGCTTGTCCCCAAAGAAGACAATCTGCTGTTAGAAGTAATATTAAAACCTTGTTGTATTTCCATTTCATCCTTATATCAATTACCAAGTTTCAGGAATTCTTCAGACGTTCAATTTTCAAGTCATTTTCTTGCCAATCAATAAAATCATGTTTCGATTCTTATAGATTCCATTTCTGACTTTAATTCTTGAGGAATTTGTACCATATCTTGTCAGTGTGGTTTGAGATATATCGGCCAAATTAAAATAGCTTTAGAGATTTGCATGAAAGAATACGAATGTTATGTCGAAAATGAGTAATTAACAGGCCTTCGATAGCTAATCATAATCGGAAATTTAATCACACTTCTGGCCTGTAAAAACTACCCAAAGGGCTTCTTCAATTGAAAAATTAGATTTTCTTGAGGCTTTTCACATTCACAAAATTTAACTAAACAAATTCACAAATTTGTTTAGTTAATGACTTCAATTCCAATGCTGTCCTTCAGAACGCTTTTCAAATTCTATTAATTGAATTTTTCAACTTTCGTTACTAATTCTCCCAAAAGATGGCGCTGCCTTATAGTTTCCTTTGAGTGTAATTGCGTAGATATAACCGTACCATTCCCCACGGATGAAGAGGGGCGTGTACCTGTTTTGTTCTTGAAATGAGTCTTGACTAAAATATACTCCAAACACAAAGTTGTTGCTTTGCCTGAATAAAAGAACTTTATGCTTACAATCATCGTCAACAATTTCAATGAGTGTCGACGTAGCAGATCCAAGCAGACGAGGGTCAGTAACTCCTATTGCATTCATGCTATTTCTGAGTTTAACCTGAAAACTTTCGTTGGGCTCAAGTATATTGTCATTCACAATTACGAGGGTAATTGTCTTTAGAATTTCTCCATCCTGAAAAACCAATAATCCACTCGCTGGTAGATAATCTGTGCGAGCGCTGGCTGATCCATCCACAGTTGTGTATTGGACAGTAAGCTTTCCATCTGATCCTCCTTTCCGAATTACGGGCAGTCTGACTTCTCCAACACTTTCTGGAACTGCAATACTGGATTTCCCCATTTCTACACACCCTGCTCTAACTGTAAAGAAATTGAGGTGTCATAAGATCGCTATTTACTGAAAAAACGTTTATTATCATGTTGTATGATTATGCATTTGAACTCTTCATTTACATTACTTGCCTACAGCGTTTGCTTTATGACAGAATTGTCATTATGTTTCTATCATCAGACAGTTCCTTAACTAAGTTTTTGTAAATTATATTAGTATATTTATATAACAAATTCTATTAACTCTGCTAAGAAGCAATAATTAATTACATTTAAGAATGTTCCAACATTTGTCCCAAAGTTAGTGCGAATGGATTTTCTTATATGAAACTATGTAATGTGGACACCACGTGACTTCGTTCTACGGCCTAATTAATTATACATATATTTTGCTGCATTTCATTTAAATTTATTATCTCGAATTTTATTAGAAATATATCTCATTCAATTAATTATGTTCTCACTTCGCGTCAAGACAAAGATACATAAAAACTCAAAGCATCCTCATGAAAAATTCTAAAATACAGAAAAACCTAAAACACCAAATGTGGTTAAGAATAACAATTTTTACAATTAAAATTAGAGTTTCTACTCAAAAAACAAGCAATTCGCCCAGCGGAGAGGAAGACAGATTTTTCGGTGCATAAATTCGAAAGTTTACTTCTGGTCCCACTCGGCTGAAAGACACTGAAGTTGGTGCACAAACCGACTTAATTCGCTATTCTACTGAGAGTTTCAAATGTAAAGAATTGGTGGCCATGTTAGGCTTTTCACCACTTAAACTTTTCAGCTGTTGATAATTCTACAACTATTGCATACAGATTAACTAAAAGCATAAAAACCTTAACTGAACACAATAAGAAAGACACAATTCAGTTACATTTAAACACAATTCAATCAATAGAAAACACAATTCAATCACATTTAAAGCAAAAAATGCACAATTTACCAAAATATAAGAATAAAAATACTAAGCTCACCGAGCCGAGTAACAGAGTATATATATATATATATATATATATATATGTCATAATAAAAGCAAAAGAAAGACGGAACACTGTAGATGCGTGATTAAACCCATATTGAAGAAGACTTTGATTGCGTAGTATGCTAGTGATGCTAACTTGATAATATCTAAAGAACTTGGCAGTCGAGGCAGTTTTAATTCCATTTTTATTTGCAACTAATATTTGTGGCCACAATCACTTGGCACTCAAGTCGTGCCTTTCCACAGAAGATTACATTTTTGATATTGTTGAGACAGAAAGCAAGCCAGCGAAATTACATCTTAGCACAGTAGAGAGCAAAAGCTGAAGTGCGTAGTTATGAAAGATGGAAGCACGCGAAGAGAAAAGTTTTGGTTTACAATTATTACGTCATCAGAGCTGCGGGGGCCATAGAGTGATCTAGAAATGACGCATTGCAGAGAAGTTATTACGATTTTAGAATAAAGAGGAAGAATTAATGTTTATAGTTTCAACTATAATTTTGATTCATATATTTTTATCTTACATATATATTATAAGTAAAGTTGTAAGAACAAACAAAAAAGACCAATTTAGGTCAAAAGTTTGCGCATTGTGCTGCAAAATTAACGAAATTAGAAGATAAATTTTAGTAAGCACGCCAAAAAGTTACCAAAAACTGTGGCTCCGAGAAAACTCCAACGTAAGCATAGTTAGTTGCTATGAAAAGTGTGAAAGAGGAGAAAAATATTTGAATATTTACAAGTTAATAAAAAAGCTATATGCTAAACAGATTAGGAAATTTTACCACAGTAGGAAAACAAATCAATTGAATGAGGTAAAATAAAGATAGTGGCTATATGCTAAACAAAAAAGTAGATTATAAAACACAGTAAAATACTAATCAATTGACCAAGGTAAAATATAAAAATATATTAAAATTAAGAAGCGGAAAATGGTTAATTAGCCCAATTCGAAGTTCAGTTTGGCTTTTCAAGGGAAATTTTTGTAAAATGAATTTCGAACCAAGCTAATTCCATTAGGCGTTTCGCCGAAACAGACAATTGAAACTTTGAGCGACAAATTTTTAATGAATTAAATAAACTTTGTCTAAAAAACTTTAGTCTCAATTCTCTGTTCCAAAAAGGCAATTCCGATGTACAGAAAAAATAAATAAATAAATAAATAAATAAATAGCGGTATGCTATTAGTCAAAATATACAAGATCTTATGGGTTGGACCTGCGAGCTTAAAGAATTAAAACTTTGCAAAGGAACCGTAAATTATATTTAAATCAAAAAGGAAAAAATAATAATAAACAAGATGACAAGCAGTATAAGTCTTGCCAAGACCTAGAAAAACGTTTAGAGAAAAAATTATAAAAATCAGACCTGGAACAATGCTGTCTTCTTTGGTGACGAGGAAACTCAAAAAGGGCTTGCAAACCCCCTAGCTCTTCCATTGCCCTCCAACTTGTCGGATGACAGGGGGTCGGCCGATTGCAGCAAAAAAAGGGATATGAACATGTTATAGCAGTGCCATATACAAAATTTCAACGTTCTAAAACTATTTGTTTTTGAGTAATGCGAGATAAGTACATATTTAAGTACGTACGTACAAGACGTCAAGAGAAAATCTCCTCTGAATCCATTTTAAGCACATTTTACAATCCATTTAAGACGAAAGAGTCATTTATTCTGTCCTTAGGCACAGATGTCACACAGAAACATCATTCAGATTGATTCGAGAGCGGTCAAAATAGATATTTTCGTTGAAATATGATACTTGAAATTTTTCGCTATTACTACACTTCCTTTACTTCGTACAAGGAGGTAAAAACAAACGTGATAATTAGAATTTGGAAACGTTCATTTGGCAACAAAGCATATCAATTCATGTAAAACTTAGAATAAAGAAATAACCTTAAAAATATTATTCTCTAGATACATAAAGTTAGAGAAATATCTCTCTCAAAGGGCTAATTTCGAGTTTATTTTCCTTAGAAATAACAATTACTGTTAGTAGAACATTATCACAGTTGAAAAAAGTAAAATATTTGGCAGATTTTAACAGACAAAATTTTACTCGTTTCAAAAACTATCAAACTCTGATTGTTTCATACAATGTCGACGGAATTGTAACTCAAATTTTATAGTAATTCTTGTTACTGATTCGAAATCTCTTCTTAAAATGTACACCTTGAACAAAAATGAATGAATTAATTAATTAACAAACAAAGAAAAATATAAATAAAAGTAAAAAATCTGAAAGCTTTCATATCTTATACTACACCCAAATGGGCTTCTTTCTCATTTACATACACATACATGTTTCGAGAGCATTTCGGCTAATGTTCGTTTGTGCTAAAAATATTTAAAAACCAGCCTATCTTTAGAATTTTCTATAGACAGTCTCTTAATGCTGCAGATTAAAATATTTTTTTTTTCAGTCTAGTGTTGCCAATGCTCGCTTTGAAATCATTGAATTTATTAATCAAATATTCGTTAAAGTTTAACAGAATGTAAAATACCTAATAAAACAAATTCAAAATTCACAATTTTGGACTTCCAGGTGTCCATGTTCGAGGGAAGGACTACGTTATTAAAACTTTGATGGCTCTAAGTACTCTTGCTTTTTCACAATACGAAAAACGGCATACATTCATGCAAATTCTTCATTATTTAATTTCTTTAGATATGACATAGAAAATATTTGGTGGCAAAAATTTGAAAAGTGATTCAGACTTCTATAGCGATTTAACGCAAAATCCCGTTTTGAGACTAATAGCCTTTCTGGGTTAGTGCTCCTTTGGGCTAAAACAAGACAATTCTATATCTCCCGTTCTATTGGACCGATTGAGGAAATTTAACTTGCGTTTTTCATGTCTCGAAAGCGCGACTTGGGATTCATATTAGATTTATATATATCATTATTCTAACATATAGGTATTTTGGCGTAAAATCAGACTTTTTCTGTAACTACCGTTACAGTGCCGATTTTTCTTTTTTTCATATTTCGATTCTGCAACTAAAATTATGCCAAAATATTAAATTTTGAAAGATTTGATGAGAAACTTACCGAGGAATTCAAAAATTTTTCTTGGCGCATATTTTCCACATGCGCCCAAAACAATTCACTTGTCGAAACTTTGAATTTTTAGCAACCTACTTTCGTTTCTCTTTTTTTCATTATGAACGAGCGGGGAAAAAGGTGCATCGCTTGTAACAAATATGCTAGACCTGAAAACGCGCTAATATACAGGGTGTTTCATAGATCATGGGGCAAACTTGAAGGGGTGGTGGAGCGTAATAAAACATACATTTTTTATAGGAATGTAGGATCTAAAGTTACCGGTTAAGGTAGGAACGCAAAAAAAACGACACGAGAAGAAAATGTGTTTATGTACAAAATCAACACAAAGTGCTTCTTTGTAGCAATACAGTATTCACAATAAATGTTCAAAATTGCGATTACCAGCAGTAAGACATGCTTGGCAGAAGGGATTGACGAACATTTTGAACAACGGCATTTCGCGCACGCTTGCAGCCGCAATGGATAGTCGTGCAACGAGGTCCTCCAGTGAGACAACGGGAGTCTCGTGAATGATGCTCTTCAGATGGCCCCCATAAAAAAAAAATCCAAACTGGATAAACCTGGGAAACGGGGTTGGCCATCGAACGGGTCCACCGCGGCCAACCCATTGGCCCGGAAATATCCCATTCCAGTAACTGCGGACCAGTACGTGGTTATGGACTGGTGCACCATCATGCTCGAACCAAATGCGAGCACGAACATCTGCCGGAACATTCTGCAGCAATTCCGGTAGCACCTCTTGCAGGAAAATATGATAACATAAGCCATGCGTGCAGGTAAGAGGTATGGGCCTATGAGGTAGTCGTTGACAATACCCGCCCACACATTCACGGAGAAGCAGGTTTGGTATGCATGTGGACGTGTGGATTATGAGTTGGCCACACATGCATGTTGTGGCTATTGAAAAATGCCGTCCTGTGAGAAAGTTACCTCGTCAGTCGCCTGCGCCGCGACCTCGTCAGATGG